GTGAATGAGCTTTGGCTTTACTCAGGAAAGGTATGTTTTATTTTGGCGATAGCCAGAAGTGCTATTCATCTTGGTAAGAATCCAACTTTTCATGGTACATGCTAAAACATATTGATGTGGAGATATCATTGGATTCCATGAATGTTTTGGATTCCTAAGTCAATTGAGGCTTGAGAAGATCATACGGATGATAATGGTGCTGATTGTGCAACAAAGTCTCTTACCGCAGAATGAAGTTTTGAAAATATGCCGTTGAGTGCCGATTTGGGCACCTCTTCCACATAGTCGGAGAGGGGAGATTGTTGGGTTTGGGTTTCCCTTCCTATGTGGGTAAAAGCCCATATTTTGACAGTCCAACTAACTAATTATTGTTTCCCTCAACTAACAGCCATATTCCTAATATTTTTTGGCTCTCATTTGATCGACACACAACAGAAAAAAAAAAAACAGAAAAGAAGAGGAGAGGAGAGGGATTTTTTTTTCTGCACAGCCCCATCCAGCACCAGCCATCGTGTTCTAGTTATTCCCAGAGTTCCAACCGTTGGATCTTTGTGATATTTGGGTATGTTGTTCTTTACTCTCTGTTCTTGATTCTCACCGAAAGGATTTTGATTTGGAGTTTCAGAGATTGAGTTATGGCTCTGAATCCGAAGTTGTCTTGTTTTGCTTCCAATTCTGCATAGCTTCATCTTCTTCAGCGTTTCGGTAGTCACCTTTTGTCGGATTGAGCTGATTTTTGGTGAGCATGTTCCTAACATCCAATTCTTGATTCTGGCCGATCAGTTTAATTTTTGGATGAGTAGAACAGATTCTGGCTGATCAGTTTAATTTTTGGATGAGTAGAACATTTTTAAATGTATTGAGAACAACAGCTGTGTTTTGTGATCACTCTATTGTGTCCCCACACATTTAATTTGTGGTTGTTTTGTGGTATAGCTTACATATTTGATGGTGTAGCTTTGCTGTAAGTTGTTAAGACAATATTTGTGTAGTGAACTTTATTTCCTTGACGCAGGAGAGAGGTCCCGTGGTTTTTATCCTTCACACCGGAGGAGTTTTTCCACGTAAATAAGATTTTTGTGTTCATGTGGTGAATGTTATTTTTTGATTGTGTATGATTTGGGACACGCTTGTGTTGCTTGAATTCGTTGCTCAGTTGCTTGAATTTGTTGCTCATTGTTACTCCTAATAGATTCATTCAAGTGGGGAAGTTTTTGTTGTGAGGTCAGATTTTGTGTTACTTCCCATCAGTAAAGAACTTTAAATCCTATTTTATTCCCGAATTTTTTGCGATTCATGGGTTCATTATATAGGAATACACCTCTATATATTTAGATTTTTTATAGTATCCATTTACATAGTCTAAAGGATTTATATTCACATCATTCGGAAACAAATTGCATGATGATAAAATATACTAGATAATTTGCAACTCCTACATGGGCATGTTTTTCAAATCTACTGCATACGTATTTCTTTTGTAGTAAGTCTCATAACCTTATTCCCCATTGTATGGTAAATGATAAAATTTATTTTTTTCAACATTGTTATCATGTAATTTTCTCCTAATTCTATTACCATAATCACTATCTAATTACTTACTGCATCCTTACTTATGTGCAATCTATTCATTATCAACTTCTTGATATCCTCTAATATTGATGTTACATTCTTCTCTCTAATCTTAATGATATGCCATTGAATGTCTCATACAAGTTATTATCCATAATATCTTACTTTCACCTTAGGGGTGAAATATGCTCTACATTAATGATTGTGTTAAGTGTTTACAATGTCATAAAATCCTTGATCACTCTGCTTTTTTAGTACCTTTATATTTTTCCTAAATCAGGCATATTATATGACTTAAAACACATCAAGAATAGTTTATGAAATTCTTTACCTTTATATTTTTTGTGCTAGTTAGCATACACGTGCCTAACACAACACCTTTGCTCACGCTTTGAAAGTTGTTGCCTTATTGCATTAAGCAAATCCTAAGCAAAGTACAAACACAAACAGAAACCATCTACATGAATATTGAATGAATTGAAATAAAAACACAATAAATTTTTAAATGAAGCTATCAAAATGGAAATATAAATTTTGCATAACTTTTGTTGGTAAATAAAAACCCAACCATCATCATCAGTAATGCCTAAATCTTATCTCAAAAGCTATACAAATCAATTGTGTCTTTATTTTCAACCTTCACAATAAGTTGACATATTGAAATCATCTGGTTGTTCCCATCCCTCCCTATAGTAACTAAAACTTTCCTTTAATCTTTTGTTTCAAAAAACATTCATCTAATTCAATGACCATCCTACACCTAGTAAGAAACTCCTTCCAAAGATAGTTAAGGAAATACAATCTATCAAATATGGCTATATCATTAGGGATGGGTCTCTTAACTCTCATGTCCATTGCACTCCATGGATCATATCTTTTAATTTCACCTAGATAATCCCAAAATTTTTACATATTCTCCCTTTGTGTCCCTGTGGAGCCTAGCAAGGTATTGAATATTTGCTCCCTTCAAGTTCATCAAACAAAGTTTTACACTAATATCCTCCTTAATTTGAGCCCTCAAGCCAATTAATTTCATTAAATTAACACCCTTGTATCAATGCAATACCTTCTTAACAAGCCACTTAGAGGAAATCCTCTTATTTTTGAAGGATATAGGACATGTTTTCTCATCCCTTTAAGTCTTCAATTGCAAATTTCTCTAATTATTCATTGATGCATAGGCAATCTAAGGGCAACTTACCTTCACAAACTATCTCCTTAATTGACTCATGGTATTGTTGATAAATTTAAGATGTCTTCTATTTTGTACAATTTTTTGTATTATTGCTTTTTTGAACTGCTTAGGACTGCTAAAAGTCATCATAATTGAGAACTTCACTGTATCAACTTTAGGATAAAAGCAAGGGTATCGCCTCGTCCTTCTAACAGCTTGCTCTTACTTATCATTGTTTGCTTTCTCATCTAAAGACCATCCTTGATTTGAATCCTAGTAATTTGTTTCACCTGCATCATTTGTGTCTTTTTGATTCAAAAACACTTTATCTATTTCTTCAATTGCTTCTTCGTCTTCTCTTGTTACCTCATTAAAATTAAGGCTTAGGATTGCAGAGTGACTTTATATCATTCCCATCAATGCTTCCAAAAAGTTGTTGTACATCAATCTCCAAAGCAGACCCTAATATTTATTCCCCAATTATACTAAAACTAAACTCATTAATTTTCCTTTTAACATGCACTTTCTTCAATAGGAGTCAATTTTTGCCTAAAAACTTCATGTTCGAATTGATTGTTCGTAATACTTGATTCATAACATAAATTACCCGCTCCAAATGACTCCTCTACCAGAGTTAATTGAATTTAATGCTTCACCATTCAGACCAGCATCTATAGTTAGGTAAAATATATTATCAGACTCCACTCTTGAAGTTACACTTTTGTCCTTTATTATCTTATGCTAAATATACACCTCAAGAATTTTTCTCTTTTTCAAAATTTTCAATACAACTATTATGGACTCCTCATATAACAAACACAAGGATTGTGCTAAATGTCCATTATTTTGTAAGCAGTGAACTTTCTCAATTTTCCTAAGACCCAATACCTTTTACATTGTCACTACAAATTCACGTGGAAAGAAATCATCTATTTAAATTCTTAATGTCAAAAAAAAAAAATCTATTTAAATTCTTAATGATCTTATCCCCAACCCACATGCATCTTTTCACTCTTCCTAAAATCACTTAAGTGTACCACCTCATCAAATCTCCACCGTTGCATGTGCAAAATAGATAAAAAATATGACGATAATTTAATCCAATAATATTTTGACCATCTTGATTTGAACCACAGGTTTTAAATACTCTTTCCGTCCTAATTTGTTTACATAGTTTGACAAAACACAAATATTAAGGATTTAGTCAATAAATATTATTTTTTTTCCTTTTTTACCCTTCGCTCATTAAGATATTAATAAAAGTCCTTCATTTGATGAATAATCATAAAAGCTATTATGAGAGAAATAATTGTTCAAATATATAAATTTAGAAACCTTGCAAATATTTTAAAACATTCAAAAAAAAAATAATAAGCAAACAAAATGGGACACAAGGGTATCTAGGGCTGCAAATGATCCATTATAACCTGACCCAATCCAAGCAACCCAACCCAACCCTACGGGCTTGAAGATATAATGGGTTGGGTTGGGCAGATCATCTTTATAATTCACGTGTTAGGTTGGGACACAGGTTCACTAGATAAACCTACAGATCCGATCCAACCCATAAATAAATTATGCATTATTTAGTTAATTTGATTTGATTTGCAATTTTGAATATAAAAACTAAATTATTTACATATATAGTAGATATTACCTTTGCTATCAGAATATATTGTATTTTAAAACATATTATATAATTACTAAGTATTTTTAATTTTACTGGTTGCCTTTTTTATTAGGAAATTTAGTTTTTCATTGTTGATTATGATTATGATGATGATAATATTGATTATATTAAGAAATTTAATTTTAATATTGTCATTGGAATATATTTGTAGTTTGTGAAAATTATTGTATAATTAAATTTTTAAGTATATTTAAATTTTTTAGTAATCCTCCTAAAGAGTTGTATTTTATTTAAAATAATAATAATAATTATTATTTATTTAATTTGTGGGTTTACGTTAAACCTGTACCTAATCTAATCCATTTATAACACGTAGGTTCACGCATTTAATGGGTTAAATTAGATTTAAAAAATCATTGACCTGCATGCTCGGATCATATATTTTAAATTAATAAATCCTATCTAACTCGACCCACGCGCAGCGCTAGGGGTATTTATAGTACAATTTTTGTTACATTACATCTAGGAGAGACATTTTATGAACCGGGCCCAAAAACGGCCAATAATCAAATATCTAACCGGCCCACCAAAACATACGCAAAACTCGGAACGGCAGATATCATTTTCAATCGATTAAACCAGACAGTGTCTGACTCTCTTTCTCTGCTCGTGCTCGCTAGTAGGAAGCAGTGAATGAAATTGAATTACTAAACGCTGAAAAGAGAAAATTGAAGTCACTCTGAGTCCGTTAGTTGTTTGGATTCTTATCTCTAGTTATCTTAATGAGTTTTTGTTTACATTTTCAAGATTAGTTTTTCGTGGTGTGAATTGATTTTGGAGATGGCAATAACTATGGCAAGTGGACAATTTTCTTGCTTTGAAATGAATTTGAATTTTAAACCATATCCTTCGTCTGGGTTTTTGAATTCTTGGAGACCATTTTTTTGTTTTCCATCAAATATAGAGAGTGTTAAAACGATTAGAGGTTTTGGTTTTGGATTAAAAGTTAAGGCTGTTTCAAATGGAGATTTGGATAATAGGTTGACTGGTGGTGGGATGGTTGAGCAAGAGTTTGTATTCAAGCCTTCTTTTGATGAGTATTTGAAAGTTATGGAGTCTGTTAAAACTGGTCAGGAGAAGAAGGAACTGCGTAAATTTAGTGGGTCTAAGTTGAAGGAGGACACTAGGGGGAGAAATGAAAGGTATAATAGGTCTGCAGATGGAGAAAATAAGTCGAAAGAGAATGGAGGCATTGACCAAAATGACATGATTAATGACGAACTTGATAACAAAGAAAGAGGAATTAGAGAATCAAGTGTTAAATTGCCTGGTAAAGAAAGCAGTGGAGGTACATATGTAAAGAGAAAGGTGAGAGGAGTGACAGGTGAGGTGCAACGGTTGAATTATCAAACTCGTAGGATGCATACTCAGTTGGAGGACTTTCATCAAGGTAAGGGTAAGAAGACTCAAAGCCTGCAAGAAAGCCGTATGATGGGTGTTGTTGAGAGTCGTAAAAGCCCTATTGGCAATGAAGAGGAGTTTTCTTATGGTAAAAATTTACCAAAATTTTTTCAAAGGAAGAACACTGAAAGAGAGGAACATGGTGCTAGAGAAAATAGAATGAGATTTGTGTCGAATCATGTCCGAATTGATCGAGACAATGACGAGGAAATTGTACGGAAAAGAGGATTTCTAATCAGAAGTAACTCAAGGGTCCCTGATAACGGTAGTGATAAGGATTTGGAAGTGGAAAGATCTGCCTTCAGAAGTTTTGAAGAAGGTGAGGTCGCTATTGCCAGGCCCCGAACTTCAAGGATGGAAATGGAGGAGAGAATCCAGAAATTAGCAAAGTGGTATTTAATTTATGCCTTTTCTTTCTCCTCATATTTAGTTTAACTTGGGAGCATGCCTGTTTCACTTTACATATTCAGTTATGAATAGATAGGTATATACCTAAAGCGTTGTCTATTGTTGTATTATGTCTTTGCATGGCAAAGCAAAGAGACCTGACTCTTTATCAAAAGCAGCAATCCACTATACTGCTTGTTCAGCTGTTTTCATTTGTTTTCAACTTTCATAAACTGTATTTGTTCAGTTCGTCTTGTTTTTTGATCTTTGCTTCCCACCAGTATTTGAAACCAGTGAGATCTCATTTACCACAACAGCTGGTGGTTGAGTGGCTAAAATGCTTTCCCAGTTCTTCAGTTTAGTCATTCCAACACTCTTTTTGTGGTGCAACAGCCCTAGCCCCGTGTAGCCTTACCTGGGCAGCCCTCGGCCTCACTTTTATGGGTCATAAAGCTCTAATATTGTGGGGCAAGGGGTGCAACATGGACCTTTATGATTTTTTTCTCAATGAAAGAAAAGAATTAAAAAAAGATGTGGAGTGCAGACTAAATCTGTGAGGAACTTGTTAAGCTTGATAATAAAGTCAGCATCTTGTGATGAAGATGGATTTTGTCTCTGGTTAATTTCTTAGAGACATCTTTGAGCTTAAAAGCTCATGCAACTCTAATATATTTGAAACTCTTTCTATTTTTTGATTCAGAGAGGAACGCCTTGGTCCATACGGTGGCTAATATTTAATTTTTGTATCTTGATTCAGAAGTATTTTCAGATTTTTACTTTATATTAGGACTTTTGGTATGTTCTTGGAAAATGTATTTTAGGACTCATCATTGTCATCATATATTCATACAGTGCCATGACATAAAAAAGATCGTAGATGAATAAAATTAATTTATTTTTGTTTTGCGAGTTAAATTTCTCTGATTATTATTGATAGAAGAACAAATTTAGTTAAGAATTTTATAGTGTAGAGTGTGGAGCATAATATTCTTTGTGAATGATTAAAACCAGATGAATAGATTCAGTTAGAACCGACAAAGTAACTAGTAGAAAGATATTCTCAAATCAATAATTTTCAATTTTTTAGGTTTTAATTCTAAGTGATACTTTCTCTATAATGGATTCCTTTTGGCATTCACCCGAGCATAAATTACCGGGGATCTAAGTACAGTGGAACTCTTTTTGGGTAATTGTGCTATTTGTGTCCTATCTATTTCTGCGTTGCTCTTTGAGAGTTCAGTCTTTATATATTATATCTGTTGCATTTTTCTGTATGATCTTATCATGATGTGATCAAGTTAAAGTAGTTTCTTTTGACAGTCTAAATGGTGCAGATATTGATATGCCTGAGTGGATGTTCTCTAAGATGATGCGCAGCGCAAGAATAAAATATACAGACCATACTATATTGAGGATTATCCAGATATTGGGTAAATTGGGAAATTGGAGGCGAGTGCTACAAGTCATTGAGTGGCTTCAAATGCGTGAACGCTTCAAATCTTATAGGCTAAGGTATTACTTCTCTTCAATGTTTTACTTACACATGGTTTAAGTGGCACTTATTTTTCAATATTAAATAGGTTTCAAGGTCAATTTGGAAGTATTTGTATTACAGAGGATTGGGTGTTAACTGGTTTTGTTAAAAATGGAGTTGATATGTTTAGAAGTGTTATGGAAAATAGAATCTTAAGATTAATCAACTAGGATGTATATAGAAACTAGGAAAATTTGTAGGGATTTTTTGATTTTCTTTCTTGGTTAGGAACACCTATTATACATATATATATTACGCATTGTTCATAATGAAATATACAAGAAATCCATCCCTTCTCTGAATTACAAGAAGTAAGGTAGTCAGTTGTATTTTAGTTGTAATACATGTTGCAAAGGCAGCAGTATTACACTGGACTTTGGACTTGTACTGGTGAAGTTTAGAACAACTTCCTTAATGGTTGTCTGATTGAAAGATTTGCTAACAGTCCAAGTCAGTATAACTTGGGAGCTTCTCAGGGTGTTGGAGTGGTTTGTCTTTTGCTGCCAGGTTTCAGTCTTGGCTCATTACATGTAATTACAGTATAAAGTAATTGGACATACCTGACATGTAAGCAATTGACAAGTGCACTTAGTACAAATTTAAATACTGATCCCAAGTATTTTCGACAATTTGGTTCTGTTTGGTAGAATGAATGGCAATCGAGAAGGAAGAACCTTAGAAGACATGACATCTTTTCTTCCTCATGTTTGATGGTTGGATGAAAAGGCAGGTGTGGAATTTAATAAAATTGTTTTGTGAGAACAAGAAAAAGGCATGAACGGGTGAGGATGCAAGTATATCTAGTGCGCTTAATAACAATTGGTTGTAAAAGTAAGAAATTTCTAAACTATTTTCCACTCTTCAACTCTGTTTGGCAGAATGGATGGAAATAGGAAGAATCTGAGTAGAAGGTGTGATATCCTTTCTTCCTTATGGTTCATGATCTGATGAAAAGGAAGGGATGGAATCGGATAAAACTGTTTTGTAAGAACCAAAAAAAGGCATTAACAGGTAAAGGATGAAATAAAGGTGTAAGGATGAAACAAAGGGGTATGGATGCAATCAAACATTTTAATTCACTTTTCTTTTTCCCTTCCTCTCACCTAAATCTCTCCAATCAAACATAGGATGCAACTCTTTTATTGTCTTTTTATCCCCTTGAGACAAAATATTAGTTATTTTTACAAAATATTATGGTAGTTTTATCCCAATATTTACATTCATCTGTTCTGTTTTGCACTACCATAAATTTTTAATGCTGCTTCTTTTGCAATTGTTAATGAAGAGCAACTTTTTGTGCCTGATTCCTGGAGATTGTGATTTCTAATAGAAAACAAAAGTAAGATTTTTTAGTAGTTTTTGAATGATGCATGCAAAAGAAAAAAAGGCGTTTGCTTGGTCTCTCTTCTAGTATTCGTCTTCTTAGGGAATGTTTGATAGATTTGAGTCAATAGAGCTTCTTAGAATAAAATTATTAGTTTCTTTACAGGATGTGCCTACTTTTTTTTTGTTATTTTTTGAAACTATTTATTACTATGAAATTCCAGTTTTCTTGAATTACTTGAGGAAAATCATGGCCATTGCATATGATTACTTTTGAATTTGTATATTCTTTGTTTCTCTTTTATACTTTGTTTGATGCACTAATTTTCTTGCCTTTTATGTTGTAAAAGGAAAAAGAATTATTAGTATTTTTTCCCATCTGTGGTAATTTATTTTTTATTTTATGATGATGCAGAGATGTTTATACAACTGCACTATATGTACTTGGGAAGGCACAGAGGCCAGTGGAGGCACTCAATGTGTTTCATGCAATGCAGGTACCATACAGCTATGTCGATGCATAACTTACTCTTTTTTCTTCAACTAAATATCTTAAAAGCCAATATTTCCTAACAGTCTCCTTCATTTTCTGTTCAGCAACAAATGTCTTCATATCCAGACTTGGTTGCCTATCGTTCTATTGCTGTTACTCTTGGACAAGCAGGGCGTATGGAACAGCTTTTCGATGTGATTGAAAACATGCGATCTCCTCCGAAGAAGAAATTTAAGATGGCTGCATTTCATAAGTGGGACCCTAGGTTGGAACCAGATGTCATTGTCTATAATGCGGTTAGTAATAACTGGCCAGTAAACCCCTAATCTGTTTTTGAAAAATAACTATTCTGTAACTTCTACTTATTTTGTTACATTAAGACTCTTGATTGCAATTGCTTGCAGTCCCATGATGAAACAAATCATGTTGTGTATTTATGAATGTAATGTTGCACTTATTTATTACTTTATGATCCATGTTGATCATTGCTGATGATCCCACTCATGTAGTACACCTTGCACTTTTGCAGAAATTTATGTTGTGCTTGTAAACTGTATTTGTATGCATTTCCATGTGCCTCCATACAGGTGTGAAGTTGGCATCATTGGGCAGAAACTAACTCCAGTGACCATCAAATTGTAATGATAGTTATATGACTTGATACACTTTTTGAGTTGTTAGATAATGAATTTTTAGGCTAAATAGGTCTTTCAAAACATAAAATTAATACAAGGTTTTAGCTTTCTTATCTATATTGTCAATAGATGAATATAGTTCTGCATGTCATGTTAGATTTGGGATGACCTGGGAATATACTTCATCAGCTCTGGAGCTGCAATGCAGAATAGAATTACTTTGCGCAGGGCTTTTTTTATTTTTCATATTAGTAGCATTCTAAGCTACTGGATATTACATGGCTCTCCTTTGTTGTTGTTTTGGTGATGATTCTAGTCCTGTTCATTGATATAGTAATTTGTGCCTTGAGCTAACAATCATGCAGTAGTGTCTTAATGTTTTCTCTACCAATTACAGTTTTGCATATTTCTATATAATATTCAACTTCATGTGTATAAATAACATTTTGAAATTTCTTATGTTATGCAGGTCCTAAATGCTTGTGTTCAGAGGAAACAATGGGAAGGTGCTTTTTGGGTTTTACAGCAGTTAAAGCAACAGGGCTTGCAACCTTCTACTGCAACATATGGACTAATTATGGAGGTAATAAAGCTTTACTAACTTATCTGGTTGCTCGTTTTGAATTCCGCCCAACCTGAGGTCCAGTATTTCACAAAAGGACAAGCAGTTAACCTGCATGACAATTTCTCTTGGTTTAAACTTATTACAGTCATGAAAGTGCCGAGGATCTTCTTAGGCTTAGAAATAATGTGTTTGTGTTATTATGTTTACTGTCAATGGATGATTATCATATCTTAGTGTTTCCATCCAAAGAATAATACCATCTTCCAGTGTCTGGGGGTGCTTTTGTATATAGTTGGCAAGTGAACGTATAATTTCAATATAGTAAGTTAAGATTAAGAATATTTAATCATCTCTTTTTCTTATTTTCTTTTATCCTTTCCCTCTTTTGAGAAAGAGGGAAAGAAAAAAATTATTCTACTGCTATTTTGAGATTTTGACTAAAATCTCAACTTTATGCTTCATTTTGTCCTCAAGTCTCATCCAATTATGATAGTATTTATATTACAGATTTCAGACTTTTTCTTCTTGAAATTCAAACCCTATTATTCGCTATAAACTCAAGTGCTTTCTATTATAGAGGTGTATATGTGCATAGTAGGAATTGCCTGGATCCCTTACATTATTTTTTGATCAATATGGACGAAGGAATAAACTCTCTATTTAAACAGATAGATGGGTTAAAAGTTCAAACTTCCTAATTTCGTGTGTGGGACTATAGTTTATTGGTGTTTTTATTTTATTTCCTATTTTATAAATGATACTCTGCATGTTAATGAGATGAACTCTTTTAGCTAATAAGTTGAACAAATATTTTTTTGTCTTATATGCACTCCAACTAACTTCTTATCATGGTGCATAGCATTGCTCTTATTGTTTTATTGTCTGACAAGAAGGAATTCGTTATTGGTCTCTTAATGTAGGTAATCATTTGCTACTATAAATGATAGGCTTCACCGAATTCGTGGTCTATTGTTAAGATTCCTGGTTCTTGAGTATCCAAATCAATTTGATAAGAGAACCAGAAAAAGGTTGCAAATTTTCCTTAACAAAAGTTTTTTCTATTTGAGCAGGTTATGCATGCATGTGGCAAGTACAACTTGGTTCACGAGTTTTTTATGAAAGTGCAGAAATCTTCTATTCCAAATGCTTTAGTGTATAGAGGTACTGAATGATCAATCCTTTCTCCCAAATGATGTGTAGGACTTCATTCTGAAAATAAATTCTTTTTGCGTACAGTTCTTGTGAAAACTCTTTGGAAAGAAGGTAGGATAGATGAGGCTGTATTGGCTGTTGAAACCATGGAAAGACGAGGAATTGTGGGTTCCGCTGCTCTTTATTATGATCTTGCTCGATGTCTTTGTGGTGCTGGAAGGTGCCAAGAAGCATTACACCAGGTAATTTGATCATATTTAATGTGATTTGTTTGTGCACCTACACTTAAATACATATTTAGTACAATTTTTCTTAATACTACTTTTGTTTACTATGCTATATGACAATGCTTCTATAGGAGCTTCACTTACCTTATATTGAATAATTTTCTTTTTGATATATATACAGTTTATCTTACAATAATTTTTTTCACAGGTTGAGAAAATATGCAAGGTTGCTAATAAGCCTCTCGTGGTAACTTACACGGGCTTAATTCAAGCTTGCCTGGACTCTGGAAACATTCAAAATGCAGTTTACATCTTCAACCAGATGAAGCATGTTTGCTCCCCGAATCTTGTTACTTGCAATATAATGTTGAAAGCATATCTTGAACATGGATTGTTTGAAGAAGCAAAGGATCTTTTCCACAAGATGTCTGAAGACAGCAATTATATCAAGAGTAAAGCTGATTACAAGGTGAAGATAATGCCAGATATCTATACATTCAATACCATGCTGGATGCATGCATTGCTGAGAAGAATTGGGATGATTTTGAGTATTTCTATGGAAGAATGTTGCACAATGGGTATCACTTCAATGTAAAACGTCATCTTCGGATGGTATTGAATGCTTCGGGTGCTGGAAAGGTATTTTATCAAATCATTGTCATGCTCTACTGCTACTGCATGCTTGTATAAAAAGGCTGATGACATAGAAGTTCACAGGTTTTAGTATCAATTACAGCTATAGCTAAGTGTTCATCATGGGACCCTAAATCCTATCTAAACTGGTGGGGGCTTGTTCCAAATTGGAAAACTGGACCCCACGTGTCCTAACCGGGTCTGAACCAGCAGTTCCAGAATGAATCATATCAATGTCCAGAATGAATAGCCTAATTGCAGTTGCTATTTCTTTAAAATAGATGGAAGTGTTTGGCAAAAACAATTCATAATGATAATGCATGACTATATCTGATGGAAGGTTATTTAATTAACTATTGTGCATGCAGGGAGAAGCCGTGGAGATGACTTGGAAGCACTTGGCTCAGGCAGGTCGGACTCCCCCACCTACTCTCGTCAAAGAAAGATTTTGCATTATGCTGAAGAAAGGGAACTGTGATTCTGCTCTTGCTTGTATCACTAATAATGCTATTGAGGAGTCGCCGGCATTTTCGGAGACAGCTTGGTTGAATTTATTGGAAGAAAATGCTCAACAGATTAGAAGAGATACTCTTGTTCAGCTAATGGATGAGGTGAGCATTCTTGTTCACAGAAGCAGCCCACCAAATCCTATACTGCAAACTCTTTTAACATCTTGTAATAATTTTCTAGAGGCTCCTATTAAAGTTCCTGAAGACAACCATAAGGAAATTGTATGTACAGTTCAATCTTAAACTACTTCTGCATATTATCGTCTACAATAGGTTTTTAGTACTTTTGGATTTTATGTGCAATATGTTGATTCGACATGTGATAACTATAATTTTTAATTGATTTAATTTTACAGATAGAAAGTTAAACGAAAAATTTTACAAATTAAAATGTTTAATGTGTGTAATTTTATAAATTGAAATATTAAATGAACAAAAAGAATTGAGAATGTCATTAGATTTTTTGCATTGCGTTTTAAACCGCAGTTTGGAATGAACCTGCCAGTCCTAACTCTAGAATTAAGTTCTAGTAAATAATGTAAGAAATATGTGCACTTGCAACACTTGGGATTGATTCTCTATCTCTATACGCATGATAGGATTCGGCATAGGGAGTGGCTAAATAGGGAGCCGCAGTTTGATTTGATTTGGTTATTTTGATAGCGGTTTAGGTGGTTTAAAATAAAAGAAATTAAACTTCTCTATTCATCTAGTTAATAAGAAAAGAAAAAAGTTAACATCATATTAAATATGAAAAATGAATTAATAAAAATTATACTATAAAATACAAATAAATTTGAACAGCTATTAAAAGTTTTTAAATTAATTTTTTATCTGTTTATTGTTAGTATAGAATAAAAATTATTATATATTTAAATTAATTGACATGAATCTTTGACATTTAAACCTTTTATAAAATAATTATATAATTTATCTAATTAATAATAAATTATTGCTTAAGTATTATCCAATATAAACTAATTCAATAATTTACTATCCAGTATAAATTAATCAATGCAAAGGAATTTTTCATTCAAGAAAATCGAATTGAATATATATATATATATAACAATTTGGTTTGGTTTGAACGGTTTTAAACCGTAAATCAAATCAAAAGTACGGTTTTTAAAAATTTTATAAAACCAAATCAAACTATCAATCTTTTAAAACTACTATTTTGAATTGGTTAATGCGGTTTAGGCGGTTTGATGAACACCCTAACCGGTGGTATATGCATGTTTATTCTCACATTGCTAATTGGAAATAGATAAACCTTGAATTATTATTTAATTTTTTGGCTTTAGCAAATTAATTTTTAGATATCTAATTAGTAATTACAATACATTTTGATCTTTTTCTTCTACTTACGCGCCCCAAAAAAAAGATAGAAAGAAAGAAAGAAAGAAAAAGGATTTGCATGTGCCAAATTTCTCTTTTCCATTAAATGAATATGCTATAAATGATAATATCATTAATGCAAGAAATCAAAAAACCAGATTCCTTTACAGGAATGGAAAACAAATGTTCCAACTCTCTCTTAAACTACTCCATTGGCATCCACAATATAAAACCATAGAGCAATTCCTTTTAGCCCACAACAAGAAACCAAATACTGATTTCAGTTAGAAAATTGTTGAGAACTCATTTTTGATTATCCATTGGAGAGTTGTATCTTTCTTCAAATTCCTACAATGAAACGTTATGGTACTCAGAAGGGTGCTTCAGCTTCTCCTCATAAAGAGGGTAGGTATACCTCAGGTAAGATTTCCTCCTTTTTTTTTTTTTTTTCTTGTAAGATGAAAATATTTTCTAACTTTTAGCTGTTTCTTCATTTTGTATATATATATATTTCGTATTATGAAACCACCCACGGCATGATGAGTTATTTTCGAACCGAGCTAAATTGCATTTATAGATTTAGAGGGCGTTTGATTCAGCTGTTTCATGCAGTCACACCCAACAGCTATGTCGTAGATGTTTGATAAGTTTTTTAATCAACAGTTGATAGCTGATAGAAGTCTCAATCATCTGCTGTCATCATATAATATTTTGGCTTTTTTTTCGTATCAGCTGGTAGTTGATTCGTACTTATATTATTTTAGACTTCATTAACCTCATAAAAGTAATTACTAATATTTTTTTTTTCAAAGTAATATTTTTGTATGATCATTTTATTTGTAGTTATTTAAACATAATTTCTTTAAATTTTAAAATTTTTAATTATTATTTTATTAATATAACACATTAAAATAAAAAATAACATTCTCCTTAAATTAATATAAATATTATACATCATAATATATAAAAACAATTATATCCTTAATAGTCATTTTTTATATTTTAACAGCTACCAACATCTTACCAAACACGAATAGTAATGAGCTAACCACTATCAGTCATCAACTACCTGCTATCAGCTAGTACGGCCACTAAACCATACATGCCATTAGTTAGTTTGGAGTACTTTTTATATTTTAGTTCAATTTTATTTTATTTTTTTTATAAACTGCAATTATAGATTTGATTTATTAAAAAGGATATAATTTCCCATTAATTTCTGGTATCATCTGTTAATGGTTTTTGAAATCATAGTAAATGCAATTTGTTATGGTACCTTTACAATTTTCAAGAATGCTATTTTCTATAGAAATATTAAGAAGTACTTCTGTGGAAATTCTAGAATGTTTGATTTTATATCCCTCTGTAATTAATTAATTGTGCAGAAGATATAAAATTTGATGCAAGTCAGTATGAGTTTTTTGGGAGAAATGTGGTAGAGCATGAATTGGAACAAGGACCAAAATTTGATAAAAGCACAGATCATCAACACTTTCTGTCATCAGGAAAACTCAAGGTAATAAACTGGATTTATGTATATAATCCAATGATATTAATTAATAATAAGTAGACTGATGAATCTTTATATTTTCTTGGGAAAAATAAAATTTTATCCCTACATTTTTGGCATAATTAACTATTTTCTCCTTGTATTTTCGTTAAACAAAATTATCCTTCTGTCCATTATTTGAGATTTAAGCCATCCGGATCCAAATTGCTTTTAAAATATAAGGATAAATTACTTAATTATATCAAAACATAGGGACAAGAAAGTAATTTTTTCTTTTTAGTTCATATATATAGGGTTAGTTTTGTAATTTCATGATACTTAACCACTTAAATCTCAAATAATAGACGGAATAATAATTTTGTTTAACAGATCCAAACTAAATAATAAAATATTGTAATTTTTAATGTACAAGGACAAAGTAGTTAATTAAGTGAAACCATAAGAATAAAAATGTAATTTTCTCTATTTTATTTAATTTCATTAACACATATTAATACAGGGTAAATATGTTGGATCCCAGACTTGTGTTGATGATCTTGCAATTTCTTTCACAAAGGTAAGATTTCTAAACTTATTTGCAAAATGCCAATAGTAATTAGTAATATTGCTTTAATTAGTTTTTATTTTATCTTCCAGCTGAACAAGATTAGTGAACCAACAAATGCAAGAGCAATTATTGAGAGGAGAATTTCTAATTCTTCCATGCCAAGTGAGTGGAAAAACTTTTAACTAAATTTTCTTTGGTAGGATACAGAAATTCACTCCTGAATTTTATAACTTTAGTCTTGTGACACTTTAAACTTTGCAAATGACTCGTTGTGCATTTAAACTTATAAATTTTGATAATATTATACATATTTCAATATTAATACTAATAATTTTTAGGTTTTTAACTTTTATCTGTAAAATATTGACTTGATATTTAGTTAACATGATTTTTAAAATAATAATTTTCATAAATTTCAACTTTTTAACGAGTGTTTAATTAATTTAATTGTACAAGTTGAGTATTCAATAAAATAATTTTGAAAATTAAAGTGTTTGATAATTGCAGTTGACTTAACTTAAAATTACTATAAAATAATCTTTGTACCCTGAGCATCTTTATTTTGAAATTTAGATATATTACTACCCTAAAATAAAATCAGGATTAGGATTATGAATAAAAAATAATAAAATGAGACTCACATGATAACTTTGGTCAACTTAACCTGAGGTAAAAAAAAAAGCCGAAAACGCACCGTTTTTTGCAAGGAAATAATCTGCTTTTTAAAACACACTATTCCACTATCGTTTCTCTCCTACTTCTCCATCTCACCTCTCTCTCTCAATCGCTCTTTTCTCTTATTCAATCTGACAATTTTGCAGATGGCTGTACCACTAATTACCAAACACTAATAGCTTTGAAAAACAAAATTTGAGTTGGATTGATTTAATTTGGGTGTTTTGGGGTTTTCTATTTGAGATTAGAAGAGTTGAAGGTTTAGGAAAGTTGAAAATAGAGATAGAAACAAAATTAAAATCAATAGAAAAGCAATCTTTAATTCAAAAAAATTAAAATATAACATGGATCTATACATTTTGCGGGCCAAAAAAGAGATTACGCTTCTCAGCTTTTTGTTTCTCTGTATGCTTCCCATGTGCCATCTTTATCTTAGCTTTTTGGCCGTTGCCTTCTCCCATGGCTGATTGATTTGTAAAATATTAATATGAAAAGATGAGTCTCTTAATGACCTAATGAAGGTTTTTAATGGTGACGCTGATTGATTCATTTTCTTTTTATTAAACAAATGGTGATGCTTTTTAATGGTGGTATGCTTCAAATATCACTTTTAAAATAAGTCAGATTTTCAGTTCAGGAAGATGTGATACAGGGCAGACAATCGACAGGGAAGAAGTGTAGTGCAAAGTAAAGAATTTTTTATTATATAAAAAAATGGTGCGTTTTATTACTTTGGGTAATGTTAACAAAGGTTATCATGTGGGTCCCATTTTATTATTTTTTTATTCATAACCGTAACCCTAGTTCTATTTTAAGATGCTAATATATTTAAATTTCAAGGTGGCCAAAATCCGATTTTCAAAACCAAAACTATCGGTTCCTAACCGGTAGGAACTGTAATTGGAACAATGGGAACCGGAATCGAAATAAATCAGAATCAAAACCGGTTCGAATTAGTTCGGTTCCAGTTCCACCAATTTTGGAGTCATAAACCAGTGGTTCCCAAAACTAGACGAAACCAACGGTTCCAGTTCCGGTTGGAACCGTCCAAAACCGGTCAGAACTGGCCGGAACTGTCGGTGTTAAGACAGTTAAGGAACCGAAATCGGAACCGTTCGATTCTAAACCATAACTGGAACCGTTAATTTTCGGTTCAGTTCTGGTTCTAAAAAATTTGGAACTGAAACCGGAGATTTCGAAACTGAGGCCATGTCTATCTAAATTTCAAAAAGAGAATGCCTAGGATACGAACGTCATTTTAGAGTGATGTTGTAAAAAGTCGAAATATTGAGGGTATTTTTATAGGTTTGACAAGTGTAATTTTATAAGCTAAAGTGTTTAACAGTTCAAAGTAAAAGTTAAAGGTACCATGACTTATAACGTCAAAATAATAAAATTTAAAAGTGAATTTATGTATTCGGCCAATTTTCTTTTTAATTTCATTTCTTGGGCATTATTATTATATAAAACATATTTACTCATAAGTGGAAATTTTTGGTGGTCAAACTCAGGAATATTCTACAGGAGAAAGAGAGGAACTGTAAAATGGTATAATAATGAAAAAGGGTATGGATTTATAACACCAGATGATGGTGGGGGAGATGTATTTGTACATTACTCTTCTCTGAAATGTGATGGGTGTATACACCTTTGCCCAGGGACACATGTGGAATTTGAAAGTATTTTTTCTGCCTCTGATTCCAAAATGCAAGCAATTAATGTCAGTGCTCCTTATGGCAGATTGCTTCAAGACAGTAGAAAACTAGCCACTTGTAAGATAGGGATTGGTCCTTGTTTTAACTGTGGTCAATCTGGTCATGTAGCCAAGAATTGTTGCCTTTCAAGCCAGCAGAAGATGGCCAGGCAATCTAATGAATGGGAAAATAGGACATGATCTAGCTAGTAATTCTCCCTTATAAATGGTTTGCTTCTTTATTTGGTTAATTTAATTGGGATATTTTTCCTTTTTTTATTTTATATTCTTGTATTAGTTTAGTGACTTTTAAATCTTAGCATTCCTTCTTCTAATAGTTCAAATATTTTATATATTGTCTATGGGTTTGTAGTTATAGTGACATATGATAAACTAGGAGTAGGAACCTAGTTGAAAAATAAAAATAGAGAAAAGAAAAAAAAGATCACATGCACAAAAATTGATTGTAATTACTATTTTAGTAGTTATGAAAAAATTACAGTACAATTCAGGTGATTTGCGAAATACAACTAGTTCATCCATGTCTTTTAAAAAATATATTAAGATGTCCTTATAATTTATTTCCATCAGACTATGAAGTCATTTCGTTCAATTTTTGCATCTTTTCCATTAAGTACCTTATGAAATAATGAAAATATTTCTTTTATTTTTAAAAATATAGGGATAGACTAGTTATATTTTTCAAACCATAAAGACTGCACTGTAAATTGTCTGCTATAATATTTTATTATCTCTCATTTGACCTATGTGTTTTCTTATTGACTTAACGGAAAAAATGTAAAAATTGGACAAAATGACCTAATAGTGTAATGGAAGCAAGATATAGAGACAAATTAGTAGATTTTTAAAAAGATAAAGACAGACTAGTTGTGTTTCTCAAATCGCAAGGATCGTACTATAATTTTTTCATGTTTTATTAAATGCTAAAGGAGTAATGTTTGTCGCCCAACACTTAAATAATAAAAACAGTGTTTTAACTAAGTCAAAACACTAAGCGCTACATGAACAAGCTCTACATAAACAACTGTTATCTTAAGTCTTGTTATATAAAATTATTATTCAAAGCAAAATGAGGATTATAATTAAATTATACTATCTTTTAAAAAATTTATCGTTAAAACTATTTGTGCTTGTTCTCCTGAACCTATGTGTAAGAATAGAAAATTTTCTTTTTTTAAAATAAAAAAGCTGAACTATTTATGGATTAAAACTATTTATTCATTGTTTGATCTATTTTGCTATGATTTATGATATTAATTTAGACCGTCTAATCTGAATTAAATCGCATTTATATTAATAAAGCTTTCTAATTAGTTTTTCCATTGATTTTTTATATAATTTTTTAAAAAAAATTTTCTTAATTCCAAATTGAAATAGTCATTGGACCCTAAACTAATATTCTATTTCATTTTTAAGAGAAAGGCTACTGTATTGAATGACATACCCTAAACTTATAAAAATTAATAATTGAAATTTGTGATAGTTAGTGAAATCCATATGGTTTTTCTTCTCAAACAGCAGAAAAAAAAAAAAAAAAAAAAAAAAGAAAAAAAGCAGAAAAAAAAAAAAAAAAAAAAAAAGAAAAGATTTGTGGGCAGTAACAGCTTAGGCCCACAAAAAAAAAAAAAAGAAAAAAAAAGAAAAGATTTGTGGGCAGTAACAGCTAGGCCCACTATATATGAACTTGACAAGACATCTTCAAGACAGGAACTAAATGGTAGGGGGACAAGTTCTTAAATCCCCTGCAGGATCTGAAACCAAAATCTTGTTTTTCATAGCACTTGAGGCCCAAATTTAAAATTTAGCTTTATATAATTTCCTATCTCTATAGACAATTTGTTGGTTCCTAGTAATAATATTCAATTATGGAGTTGCCTGATCATATAATTTCTTTTGAGTTGTACGAATCATCACCCAGCCAAACTGCTTAAAAAATGTCTTGAACTCGATACCTCACATTATTTAACGATAAAAAATTTTATATCTGTTGTGCATTGTCCTTAATGAACTTGAACTTATGATTATAGTTGCATAGAATTTGGAAGTTTGCTTAAATTGCAGCATCGTATCATAGTATTTTTGGTAAAATAATAATAATAATAATAATAATAATAATAATAACAATAATTCTTTGAACTATCATTGGCAAAATAATAAAAATTATTAAATTTACTAAAATTACTAGTGTGTTTATGTTTTTTCAAATACATTGATTGATTCATATCTAAAGTTCTAATTTGTCAAATTATTTAGTTTTCCATCTACAAAGTGTTTATTTTGTTGTTAAATACTCTGTAGTATTTAACTAATTGATCATTCACATTGATACAATACTACTATTTAGTTTTTAATATTTACCATTTCCATCGGTATTTAATGACTAAAATTAAAGTATAGTCCATCCATTTCATTTTGTTTGTTTGTTACTTATTTTTTAGATATTTTAAAATGTTCGCAAGGTTTATAAATTTATATATGTAAACAATTATTTTTCCCATAATAATTTTTATGATTATTCATTAAATGAACGACTTTTATTAATATCTTAATGAGTTAAGAGTAAAAAAGGGTAAAATAATTTTTATTGACTAAATTTTTAATATGCGTGTTTTGTCAAATTATGCAAACAAAATGAGACAGATGTAGTATTTTTTTTTTAATGGAAAGACTATAAATTTTTCTAGAACTAAAACTAAAAACAAATCAATATATTTATGCAAAAAAAAAAAAAAAGGGACGAAACTTATTAGTATTTTTTTAATGGAAAGACTATAAATATTATCTAGAAACAAAACTAAAAATCAATTTCAATTATTCATTTATTGCAAAAAAAAAAAAAAAAAAGGGGACGTAAACAGTAATTAAGGTCAAAATCTTTAGCTGCTATATAGTATTTTAGCCTTGACAAATCGCTCCAGCAGTTTCTAAAATGTCTCTTATTTTATTATAAATATTTATAGAGAAAAAAAAAATACGAAATAGGTTATTTAGTTGATCTTGATAGAAGCTTTTAAAAAAAAAAAAAAAAAAAAAAGGGACGAAACAGTAATTAAGGTCAAAATTTTAGCTGCTATATAGTATTATAGCCTTGCAAACCGTCCAGCAGTTTCTAAAATGTTTTATTTATTATAATATTTATAGAGAAAAAAAAATACGAATAGTTATTTGAAGTTGATCTTGATAGAAGCTTTTAAAAATTAATCATTTTTTAAATAGGACGACAATAAAAATTTTCTTCGATTTTTCGTTTTAGACATTTATTATACCTGATGAGTATTAATGGAGAATAGGTCACTACTGAATTTCAAGATTTGAAGTCTCCGACCACAAAAAATCAACTATTCACCTTGGATTTAGAGGTAAAAAAAAAAAATTACAAACATACAAAAATCTAAAGGAATACAAACAACCATCGATCAAAAAAAGATGATTAGCGATGATTCAAAAAATAAATCTAAAACAATTAACAAAAGAGTAACATTTTTTCATCCAAAATTTTTAAAAAAAGAAAAAAATATAGCCAAATACGTCCAAAGTTTTTGGACATTGAATAATAATCTTATTCATATTTATTTATAGATATATCAATTAACTATATAAATTTAAAATCAATTTGTCATCGTTTTTAGTTAAAAATAAAAAATAAAAATCTCTGTTTGGTATTTGTTAACCAAATAAAGGACGGTGAGAGATCAAATGAATAAAAAATCTAACAGAAATAAACTCTTTGATGGTCTGAGGTAACTTTATTTCTTCGAGTCGAATGCATAAATTTATTCTTGAGCTTTGTGTAAAAAATGTTATAGTATTTTTTATTTTTTTTAACTCATTAAACACGTTAATGTATAGAATTACATATATTAAACACTTTAATTTATAAATTTTTTTATTAAATATTAAAATTAGATTAATTAATCACTTAGTCAATAATTAAAAATATGCAAATTATTATTTTAAAATTTATAGTAATTACTAATATTTTGATAACCGAATTGGTTACTGTACCAGTGACAGCAGAGGTTTATTAAACTGGAAGATTCAATCGGATTCAATATTCTAAATTTTTATATACAATAGTTTTAAATATATTTTTAAGTACAATTAAAAATATAAAATTTATAAATTGTCACGCCGTGACTCCAACCATTAGAGAAATTGTTCACTTTGGATCAAATTAATTCCATCATAACTTGGATTGATAAGATCTGCACAATTTTATCTCATACTTGGTATCAGAGGCAGAGCCATGCCTTGTCCCTATAACTGGTGGTGGGGCAAACCTCAGCGAGGATGTTAATTCCCAAAGGGGTGTATATGTGATATTCTATACAAATCTCACATCGGGTAAGTACAAAATAAAAGTTATGTACATAAAAATGAGCAAATCTTATATTAGCAACATGCATTTTGGACTTAAAGGTGAGACTTCAATGCAAAAATAAAATTGTCCAAATTAGACTTAAATGTAGATAATATTTTGGTAAGTCGCGGATATTACATAAATATTTAATAATTTTAACAAAAAAGATTATAAGTATTAAGATTTAATACAAATTACGAAATAAATAATTTCTTTTTATTTTATAATATTAAAATTTTTAAATTTCATGCACATAAAACAAGCATTAGCAGTAGGAATATTATAGCTAAAATACACCCACTCGTACGATATTTTCTAATACAATACTTGCATTGTGATGATCTGTTCCCACTTGTAAGTGTTGCATGGACAAATAAGGCAAGCGACGCTGTTTAGTTTTTGTTCCGCCCGTTTAAAATTAATGAAAACCAGGGAGGGACGAAAGAGTATATTCCCCCTACGGCTCGATAAAGCACGACTTGACCAAACCATTTTTACGTCTTACAACATTCACGCTTTTATTTCCTTTTGTCTATCTTTTCTTTTCTTTTCTTTTTTCTGAGAGCTAGCAGGCAGAGATATAAGGTAACCCTTACCATATTGCTTTCCAAACTTTATCATTCGACATTTGTAGTGTAAACAAGTCGAGCCGAGATCGAATCTGCTAGATATGAAGCTCAGTTCGATAGGATTTAGCTCGGCTTAAAGCTCGAGTTCAACTAGAACAATTTTCAGATTCGATTTAAAATTTGAAGCTTGAGTAAGTCTAAAATTAATATCATATATATGTATATATAAAAGCTCGACAAAGTTCAATAAGGCTCGATGAGTTTTCCAGTTGAATATCATCCGAACTCAAGCTCGATTTGAGTCAAGCGCAAATAGCTCTTGAGCCGAATTGGTTCATTTACACCTCTATTTACCAATATGGTATCTACATTATAAAAATGAGAC